CCCAACAAGCCCCATCCTTACTGACTTTCTTGTTCTTGTACAACAGTACAGGGATCACCAACGGAATCTCGATTCAAGAAAGGCATCACTGGTTGCAACTACATCAACAGGAACGTATGCGAAAATGGGCGCTTTATACTCACCTCATTTTAACGTGAAGTTGCGCCTCATCCTTGAAGTCCTAGTAGTTGCCCGCACGTCCAGATAAGTTGTAGGCTCGGGAAGTCTAAATAAAGAATCAGTCAAGAGTGAGAAAATTCTCAACTTGATAGAAGAAACTGGCTCTCATGGTGCCACATATAGGTATTGGTCACGAACGGTCCATCGAGTAAGAACGGTTAGGCAAGATTGTGGAATATGCTCAAAATCATCAGTTATGGGTCACGCTTGTAAGAGCTCCCGGTTGACAGATTGAGAGCATCATGTGACTAAAGAATATTCCACTCCTATAAGACTACTGACCCTCTATCTAGCCCCATGTTATGAAACTATTCCTTCATGTAGTTAGGGTTAACATAGAAGCCCCTTTCGGTCTTGCACCATTTTATCTATGATAGGTATGGAAAGGATTGACTAAAGGGGGCGATGGAGCATGAGGGACACTCTCGTCAAAGCCTCACATTAATAAGGTCTTGGTGTTCTTGGTGGTCGATGAGGACTTAAAGGACCCATTCGAGAATCGTGCAAGAAGTAACCTCCAATTATCATTTGGCAGACCACAAGTTGGATTTTCCTAGAAATAGAGGAAAGTAGTTACTCTGGTTGAACGTGTCCAGAATTAAAAATAAAAAAAGAAAAAGAAAAAGAAGAGGTGACAACTAATTGCTTGGTCACCACTTGTTAGAGTTATATAATTAAACTAATATGACAATTAAGGTCAACAACATCAAATAATTGCATGATTCTTGAACGAATTTAGAAATGTTGCATTATGCATGCATTGTACTTCCCTCGGTCGTGCTGTACGATTGTTTGCCATAATTTTATCTTTATGTTTTCTGGATTTTACATAAGGCTTGCAAGTCATACTAATGGGGCAATTGCTTCACAGTTGAACAATACATATCGATGTGCTTGTGTTAATGTCATCCGTTTCAACACGACCATGCTAATCTTTCCAAGAGGACGACCCCGAATATAAAAAACCAACTTATTACTGGGAATACTTTTATTATCCTACTTGCTTAGGGTACAATCCAATGTTAATTTAGCGAGGTAACAAGTTATATTATTGTCTCATATACAGCATAATACGTAAACCAATAAACACATATAATCTAAGAGGAAATAACAAAATTAACAGTAAATCTAACAGAACTGCCAAAAAGAAATGGTACAAAAGGCTTGTATTTAAGAAATCACCATCATTTAACAAACATAAATAACAGAACTTTTCACATAAAATCAATTCATTGCAGAATATTAAGAGAAGAATGAAGTGAGAATCATACCTAAAGACAAGAATGAAGTCAGAATGATACCTTACATGCAAAATGAACAACGGGAAGAATGAAGAAAAAATGAATAACGGAATGAAGAAAAAAATCAACTAATGGCCTGATTGTCCTTTTTTCTTCCTCAGAGGGGTCACTCGAGTGTTCGAAGACCAGCTTGGCCGGCTTAAGTTTTTTAGGGGTTTTTTTTTAAGTGATATGAAGAACAAAAATAATAATAAACACCCACGCAACAATATTAAAAAAAAAACTGAAGTAGCACAACTTCAAAAAATTTAAAACTTATGAAGACATCACGATGACATTTTATCAATCATTCATTCATACTTTTAAAAATTAATACTGAGGATAGAAAAATAAATACCGACTGTCGGAGATTGAAATTGTGTGCATGTAGAACAAGTTCAGAGAAAAAGATAATTGTTTAAAAGAAAATGAAGAACTATCTGAAAGGATGAAGTATACTAACAGAACCTCGAGTGTCTTGAGAAAGGTTTCCCAGAGACAGTGGTAATTCAGCAGTGAAGTTGTTTGAGTGTTATACATCGTTACCCTCATTACCAATAATAAACCAATGTGGTGGAATAATAAATTAAGAGATTGGAGATGTAGCCCTAACAGCAACCAACAATACTAGGGACTTAACAAATATATAAATGCATTAATTCATTTTTTTGTAGACAAAAGGAAAAAAATGGCTTGTGGGCTCTCATTTGTCATCATTTGGTGAGGTATTTCACATGCTTACGTCTGCAACTTTACTTCATTCTTTTAGCATTCAGTTTTCTCAATCCTTTCAATTTCATCAAGACCTCATTCTACTGCTGCACAGAGAAACTATTCAGCATTCACTTCTCCAAGAGGGCGACTTGCAACCTGTTAAGATGATGATGACTTGCAGATTTCTTTTAGGGCTACATCTCCAATTGTGTCAATTCGTACGCCTATGAGATGATTGTACAGGTCATCTGAGAAGGTGTGGCAACTAGTGTCTCAGGTTCTGGAATTCAAGAACACTTCACATTGGAGTCTTACAATGTAGAAGTTGGCTTTTGTTTTTATCTTTTAAGTCCCTAGTATTGTTGGTTGTACAGCTGAGCTAAGTTGAAGCATAACTGATGGTAAAGCCAAATTTAAGTTACAGGCAAATTCATCCACTCACACAAAACTTGGCTCACTTACGTTACATTGAAATCTATAAGTAATAATAGCAGGTTTATAAACACAAATCAAATATTTCACTTCCTACGACATCAAAATCAGTAGTACTTTTCGTATTCATACCAAATAGGGAAAGATGAATTCAAATCCTTCAATAAATTAAATGAAAACATAATCAAACCTCATTGGTGAAATAAACCCTTCGGAGCACGAAACGTCTTTGGAGGGATGAAATTCGCAGAGGCCTGTATATTCCTAGCCCTAACTATGTTTTGCCTGAAATTCAAAACACATACAACAGAAAAAATTTAAAAAAGTGACATATGTTTGTGTATATATATAAGGCACACAGAGAGAGAGTGAGAAAGTGAGGAATATAACCAGTCAGTCAGTGAGCTTAGCGACGAAGTAGCGAAGGACTCCGATGAGAACCACTCAGTACCCAATCTGTGATCGCTGTGTCCAACACCAAATCCAAATCCTCCGCCATTGGATGAGACCTGTCTCCGAAAATCTGTGAGGAGCGGCCGGCGGTAGGTAGAGAGAGAGTGATGTGATGAGCGATTAGGAGTGGGGGTAGAGAGAGAAAGGAGGACGGACGGACAAATAAGAAATGAAAAATGAAAAAAAAATAAATATGAATTCCTACTGGATTTATATATATATACACGAGTAGTACTGGTATATTAGAAAAAAGAAACATACATTAAAATAATTTGAAAAAGAAACACGCTGTTTGTGTATTGTCACATCTGCCCCTGAACTCATCTTATTTGTCGAATATTCCAACCCAGCTTCAGTTTAAGTTCGAGTTTGAGAGGCAAAACTTTGAAGGGGCATAACTTTGTGCTCGGTGGTCCGTTTGGGACGAATTTTTTTTTGATTTGGGGTATTTTTTCGAGAGCTACGCAGCGCAAACTGCCGTAGGCGGTTTGGTCGACGTTTCGACCCAAAAAATGCCCTATTTTGCTCTAATCAATCTTTTTTTCTAGTTTCAAGCATAATTTTAGTCCTTTTTTTACTCATTCTGGGAATCATAGGTGGCCAAGAACAATTTTGACTATATTGGCACATTGTTTTCAATCTATTTAACTAATTCGTCTTGGGAGTAGTTCATTAAATCTCAATGGTTAATATCACAATCATTTAAATATGTTTAATAAGTCATACTTATCATCGTTGTAATGTATGTCTTAAATGGATTGTTCTTTTGTTGATTTTTCATTTGGTCACAGGTTCGAATCCCACCGTCACCTTTCCATATTTGAATTAAATTTTTTATCTTCCAAACATTCATTATTTGACCCAAAAAAAGACCTTATTTTTGTCTAACTCATTTTGGAATCATAAATGGACAATAACCATTTTGACTATATTTAACAAATGTGTCTAGGGGATTGTTAATTGAATATTAATACTTAATATCACAAATAAACCAATGTTAATTCATGATATACATCTATGGTATGATACACCTAAACAACAACTTATGGATTGGCCACAATCATACATCAAATCGACACATCAGGACCACACAACTAAACATTCTTTTTAATAATTTTTTATCTATGTTTTTCTAAGATGCAAAAAGCAAACCAAATGTGCATGCGTGAATATATACATGTATATCACACACACACACACACACACACACACACACACACATATATGCATTGGTGTAAAAGGAAGGGCACTACAGGCTACAGCCATGGGGTCAAAGGAAAGTCTCATTATTTGATTGCAAGAAAGATGAAAGTCCCATTCCAGCTGATGGCTATTCCAAAATTTTTTATTTTTTTATTTGATTATACGTAATTTTAGTCCAGGCAAAGAAATATTAGTCAACCCTACTAACAATTCATGAATTCGCCCTTAAGCTTAATTTTTAATTTTTTATCTTCCAAACATTTATTTGGTTACATTTATCATTATTGTAATGTTTGTCTTAAATGGATTGTACTTTTGTTAATCTTTTATTTGGTCACAGGTTCGAATACTACCGTCACCATCCAATACTTGAATTATATTTTTTATCTTCCAAACATTCATTATTTGACCCAAAAATAAATACCCTATTTTTGTCTAACTCATTTTGGAATCACAAATGGACAATAACCAAATGCGTCTAGGGGATTGCTAATTGAATATTTAATACTTAATATCACAAATAAACCAATGTTAATTCATGTATCTCGACATATACATCTATGGTATGGTACACCTAACACCAACTTATGGATTGGCCACAATCATACATCAAATTGACAAATCAAGATCACACAACTAAACATTCTTTTTCATCATTTTTTATCTATGTTTTTTTCCAAAATGCAAAAAGTGAACCAAATGTGCATGCGTGAATATATGCATGCATATCTCACACACACACACACACACACACGTTGTATGCATTGGTGTGAAAAGAAGGGCACTATATAGGCTACAGCCATGGGGGTCAAAGGAAAGTCTCATTATTGATTGCAAGAGAGATGAATAGGGCCCATTCCGGCCGATGGCTGATCTAGGAGCGAGCTTGGATCCGAACGGGTCTCGCAAGAAAATAGGATTTCATATTGAGCTCCAAATATACGCCACCTATTCCAAAAAAAATTTATTTATTTATTTTATTATACGTAATTTTAGTCCAATCAACCCTACTAACAATTCATGAATTCGCCCTTAAAGCTCAAGTTTTAATTTTTTATCTTTCAAACATTCATTATTTGACTTAGGAAATTGTTAATGAAATATTAATGCTTAATATCAAAATCATTTTCCTATGTCATTGTTGTGATGTTTGTCTTAAATGGAATTTTGTTTTGTTGAACTATTACTTGATCACAGGTTCGAATGTGGTCGATGGATCTCTTTCTCCATTTTGATTTGCCAAAGAGAGAGCAGCAGCAGTGGATCTCCATGTTGAATACCTTAACTGGGTTCCTCACCATGGTCAATGAATTCCTCCATCCTATTACAAATATGATTGGGTTTGTTTGTTGTGCCCAACTTTGACAATAAGTTAATTATATATATCTAATATCTGGAGCTTAATTCAAATTCAAGTGATACTTTTATTTTATTTTATTTTATTATTTTATTTATTTATTTATTTATTATTATTATGTTTATTTTTGGTCACTAAGAACTTGACACTTGGAGATTTGCCTTGCGTTTGGTTGTTTTGTCAGCATCACAAAAATGGTTGTTTATTCAGCACCTAATGTTAAGTTGAACATTGATCAACACCCATTTCATCAAAGGTTCAAATCTACATATTTCAAATTTAAATTTTATAAATAGTTTTTTCAGCATCTAAGGTTAACTTAGAAATTGTTGTTAAGTCTTTTAATCACCACCCATTTCATCAAAGATTTGGATCTACATATTCCACCTTTATACTTTAATTCTTAATGTTTTTATCCATACAGATATATAGTTTATTCAGCACCTAAAGTTAACTTGTATATTCATTGACATTGTTGTTAAGTCTTTTCATATCACCCGTTTCATCAAAACGTTCGGATCTGCATATTCCATTTTTATATTTTAATTCTTAATATTTTTATCTTTACAACAGCACCTAATTTAACTTGTACATTCATTTTCATTGTTGTTAAGTCTTTCCATATCCACCCATTTCATCAAAGGTTCGAATCCTACACATTCCACATTTATATTTTTTAATTCTTACTGTTTTTATCCTTTCAAAGCACCTAAGGTTAACTGGTACATTTCTTAGTCTTCTAGGAAGCTCCCATAAAATTTTCAAACCCAAACTCCAAACTTCATTTTTTAGCATACGATGCCCACGTGCACGCCGGGGTGCACGAGCGTGCGGGCGAGGAGTCGTAATGGGCAAAATTAACTCGGGGGACCTCCAAATCGAAATCCGTCTCGAGCAAAGCATTTCTTAGGCTTCTAGGAAGTTCCCGTAAAATTTTCAAACCCAAACTCCAAACTTCATTTTTTAGCACACAATGCCCACGTGCACGCGGGGGTGCTTAAGCGTGCGGGCGAGGAGTCATAATGGGCAAAATTAACTCGGGGGACCTCCAAATCGAAATCCGTCTCGAGCAAAGCACTTCTTAGGCTTCTAGGAAGCTCCCATAAAATTTCCAAACCCAAACTCCAAACTTCATTTTTTAGCATACGATGCCCCCGTGCACGCGGGGGTGCTTGAGCGTGCGGGGGAGGAGTCATAATGGGCAAAACTAACTCGGGGGATCTCCAAATCAAAATCCGTCTCGAGCAAAGCAGTTCTTAGGCTTCTAGGAAGCTCCCATAAAATTTCCGAACCCAAACTCCAAACTTCATTTTTTAGCATACTATGCCCACGTGCACGCCGGGGTGCACGAGCGTGCGGGCGAGGAGTCGTAATGGGCAAAATTAACTCGGGGGACCTCCAAATCGAAATCCGTCTCGAGCAAAGCATTTCTTAGGCTTCTAGGAAGTTCCCGTAAAATTTTCAAACCCAAACTCCAAACTTCATTTTTTAGCATACGATGCCCACGTGCGCGCCGGTGTGCACGTCGGGGTGCACGAGCGTGCGGGCGAGGAGCCGTAATTGGCAAAATTAACACGGCGGACCTCCAAATCGAAATCCGTCTCGAGCAAAGCATTTCTTAGGCTTCTAGGAAGTTCCCGTAAAATTTTCAAACCCAAACTCCAAACTTCATTTTTTAGCATACGATGCCCACGTGCACGCCGGTGTGCACGAGCATGCGGGCGAGGAGTCATAAAGGGCAAACTTAACTCGGGGGACCTCCAAATCGAAATCCGTCTCGAGCAAAGCATTTCTTAGGCTTCTAGGAAGCTCCCATAAAATTTTCAAACCCAAACTCCAAACTTCATTTTTTAGCACACAATGCCCACGTGCACGCGGGGGTGCTTAAGCGTGCGGGCGAGGAGTCATAATGGGCAAAATTAACTCGGGGGACCTCCAAATCGAAATCCGTCTCGAGCAAAGCACTTCTTAGGCTTCTAGGAAGCTCCCATAAAATTTTCAAACCCAAACTCCAAACTTCATTTTTTAGCCAACGATGCCCACGTGCACGCCGGGGTGCACGAGCGTGCGGGCGAGGAGTCATAATGGGCAAAATTAACTCGGGGGACCTCCAAATCGAAATCCGTCTCGAGCAAAACATTTCTTAGTCTTCTAGGAAGCTCCCATAAAATTTTCAAACCCAAACTCCAAACTTCATTTTTTAGCATACGATGCCCACGTGCACGTCGGGGTGCACGAGCGTGCGGACGAGGAGTCATAATGGGCAAAATTAACTCGGGGGACCTCCAAATCGAAATTCGTCTCGAGCAAAGCATTTCTTAGGCTTCTAGGAAGCTCGCATAAAATTTTCAAACCCAAACTCCAAACTTCATTTTTTAGCATACGATGACCACGTGCACGCCGGGGTGCTTGAGCGTGCGGGCGAGGAGTCATAATGGGCCAAAACTAACTCGTGGGACCTCCAAATCAAAATCCGTCTCGAGCAAAGCATTTCTTAGGCTTCTAGGAAGCTCCCATAAAATTTCCGAACCCAAACTCCACACTTCATTTTTTAGCATACAATGCCCACGTGCACGCCGGGGTGCACGAGCGTGCGGGCGAGGAGTCGTAATGGGCAAAATTAACTCGGGGGACCTCCAAATCGAAATCCGTCTCGAGCAAAACACTTCTTAGGCTTCTAGGAAGCTCCCATAAAATTTCCGAACCCAAACTCCGAACTTCATTTTTTAGCATACGGTGCCCACGTGCGCGCCGGTGTGCACGTCGGGGTGCTTGAGCGTGCGGGCGCGGAGTCATAATGGGCAAAATTAACTCGGGGTACCACCGAATCGAAATCCGTCTCGAGCAAAACACTTCTTAGGCTTCTAGGAAGCTCCCATAAAATTTCCGAACCCAAACTCCGAACTTTATTTTTTTTTTGGGACACTCGTGTGCGCGAGGTAAAGCTTCTCCGCGGGACTCGAG